AGCGCAACCACTCATTATAAGCGTTGCTATGGTATTTATTTGGCACGAGTGTAGTATGATGTTGAGCATGATTATGCAATAATTAAAACGCATGTTGACATGTATTTGCACATTAAGAAAGCGATAAATACAGCAGTTTCATAAATGTAAAGCAATAAAGAAAAGAAAACAAGGAAGATATGTAAGTTTCGTCTTTTAAAGGAGAAATTAAATGCTCAAAGGAATTAACAAATAATTGCACATAGAGAGAGGTACAAATCCACAAGAACAATCTGCAATGGTAAAAGCCTAAAAGTCCCCAGCGGAGTCGCCATGCTATCGCGCCCCCTTTTTCCCTCTTTGCATCGAAAAATTGGGTTTATGACATTTTGGGCATAGGACAACTCATTCCTTTTGGGAACTGGGTTTTGCATTTGAAGATTCGCCACCTAATGATTTAAGGTGCATTAGGACACCTGTAAGGTTCACTTCTAAGTTTGTTTGATAACTAGAGATATGGTAAGGGCTTGAAATTATCCTAAGGGGAAAGTGTTAGGCACCCCTCAAGATCCACTAGTGTGGTTCCCGGCCAGATAGTTTTTGTCAATTTGTGCAATTAACAAGTAAACAAACAGGGCTCAAATAAGAGGGGATTTTAAATAAACAAAAAAGTTCGAAAGAGCAATTATTAAAAGGCAGATTTTGAAAAGAAGTGGCAAATGAAAAAGAAAAGGGGTCCTAGGTTTATTTATAATATGGATCACATCAATGCAATACCCGGTAATCACTCCTCAAAAGAGGGGCTACACGTGGTATTAGCGCACCGGTCATCATATCCATATCTACCCTTCCCACCCCGTCGAGGTATTAAAGCGCAGATTGGTCTCGACCACTATTGCATGCTATTACCCGTCCCATTCCTATCAGTCCCGGAGGAACTTAGGACTACTATTCCTAAAGGGGAGGGATATTAGGCTGACTTTTAGGTTTCAAAAGGTGAAAAAGCTAAGGCGACATACAAAAACACATAGGACTGCACATAAGGGAGAAACATGTAAACAACTAAAAGGCTCATGTATACCTCCTCAAGCAAAGCACATAAATAGCATGACTTAAACAGAGTCAGGGTCTGAATCTAAAGTACTAAGGCAAAGGGAGTTTTAATTGTTGAGGCAGACCAGTTTATTACATAACTCAGATAAGAAGTCCGAATCAGGCCTGCGTGCTGGTTGTAGCAGTTACTAATTAACAAAGGCGGCTTCAGTTTTATTTGTTGTCACCTAAGGCTTGCCTAAGTGTTTGCGTGAGATCCTATAAACACGATATCTATTACTGATTCAGAATGTGGCAAAGCAGTAACAATTCTAAAATAAACCATTTGAGATCCTACAAACATGCTTTCTAAACCGTATTAATAAGAAGAGAGAGAGTTGTTTTAAAAATTAGTTCAGAACAGTATGAGTTGAACTGATTTTAGACTAGACTGATTTCAGATTCTATAGACATTGATATCTATTATTGCTAATTTTAATTCCTATAGACATGATATCTAGTTGAACGTGAAACGAAGCAGGCGGGATTTGCTTGAAATTCCTATAGGCATGATTTCTATGAAAAGGTACTGATTTTAATCTATTGGACTTGATGCCGGATTATAACCACTAAGAACCTAGTGTCTATAGGCATGTTATTTAAATGCAGAATTTAAAACAGGTCCTATAGACAGGTTCTCTAAATGCAGAGTTAAACATGCATACTAAAAAAGGTCCTATAGGCATATTATCTAAATGCTGAATTAATCATACAGAAAACAGGTCCTATAGGCATGTTCTCTACCCTTCTAATAGTTAAGCATGCATAATTACCCAGCCCTTTCCACTAACCAACCCCAATGTTTATTACAACTTATTACAGACCAAATAATGAATTACATCAGAAAAGTATAAAAGAAGGGGTTACAACCAGAGGAAGCCTAATTCTTGACTTCCTCTCTGAGTTATGGAATAAATCACCTCAAATGCCATTTGTTTCAAAGCCTTTCTCAGACTTGAGTGTGTCAAAGTTCCCTAAGGGTCTCAAGGGACCCCGGGCAGTGCTTACACCCANCCAAAAATCCAACTTTCGCCATTTCAAGCCAAATTCAACTACGGACCTCCAAATCACAATCCGGACACGCTCCTAAGTCCAAAATCATCCAACACAGCTAATGAAACCATCAAAACTCCAATCCGAGGTCAAATAATGAAAAGTCAAACTTGGCCCACTCTTCCAATTTAAAGCTTCCTAGTTGAGAATCATTCTTCCAAATCAATTCTGAATAATCTGAAAACCAAAACCGACGATTCACACAAGTCATAATACATCATGTGGAGATACTCATGCCCATAAACTACCGAGCGAAGTGCAAATGCTCAAACAACCGGTCGGGTCATTACACGCGATAACGTCAGAGTTGCGAAATTCAATTTCAAGACTTCAAGAATCATCACGATTTCAATTTATTGCGGAATTCGGTGCATCATTCCAACTCTTTCTCTTATTTATTATTTTATTTGCATATCTAATTTTTATTAGTAATTAAATTTTCATAATATGTTTAATGCTGCAAAACGAGTTTGTAATAAGGTTGCTAATCGGGGTAATGGGAAAAATAGAAAAGAGGTGCTACTTACGCATTGTACTGCTCCGAACCGTATGTTAATAATTAATACTTGGGAGGCCGTTAATGATGTTGTTAAACTTTTACACTAAGAGGCTCTGACTCAAGAATATCTATACAAAGGAGAAATACTAAAATAGCTATACTTATTACAGAAAGCTGGAAAGGGACTCCTCGGTCTGCGGACGTAGCAGATATACCTCGAAGTCTCTACCGATACGCCTCCTTCCAAGGCTGACAGAACTGAGTGGGAGTACCTGTATCTGCACAACAAAAATGTGCAGAAGAGTAGCATGAGCACACCACGGTAGTGCCCAGTAAGTATCAAGACTAACCTCGGTGGAGTAGTGACGAGGAACAGTCAAGGCACCTACCGGTCAATAAACAGCATAATCATAGGAATAATGGAAATGACATATAAATATGTAAAGACTGCATGAATGACCAAGAATGCTACATATCACAATAAGGGAAAAATACAACAAGTAACAACGAGAATATAATAAATGAGGATAGGAAATGACGGCAGAATCACAATCCAAATCCTAAGGTCACAACACAGCAATGGGAAAACAAGTCAATAACTCATATCCTACAATGATGTTCACAAAGGTCTTATCCAACTCTTCCACAATTTCGCCAAGTCTCGGACAAACCACAACTCGCGAAGACCCAGCATCTGAAATCTAACAATTGGCATCCTATGCCCCATCAATCTCATGGTCATATCGACAACTAACTGGCTAATTAGGGCCACTCTCACAAATATAATGGATAAACGAGGGCGTACCTCCACCCTTAGCAAAATCAGGAGGAATTCATCTCTAAAGGAGTGTTCAGCTACATATATGCTTGTGCAAGTGTTCTTAACAAGAATTTTACCAACCAGAAAACATGAAAAGGAGAACGGACTGCACGTACGAATGTTTCCTCACAACTTCCAAGCGATAAAGCTCATACCGGTAAGCAACCCACAATCACATTATTAAACAAATAGGGATGCCTCCACAGGCCGTCACAATTCTCTGCAATCATCCCCTGACATAGCCCACCTTATTTCGCCACGTGTGCAATTAATAACATAATAAGCACCGCCTTATTTCGCCACACGTGCATCACAATGTTCCCACCTTATTCCGCCACATGCGCAACCCACATATAAGCATATAACATATCCCGCCTTATTACGCCGCATGTGCAAAACATCAATAACAACAATAGCACGGCAAAGACCTCATGCAACCCTTCAACAACAACCGCACGGCAGAAACCTCGTGCATCACTATACCAACAACCGCACGGCAGAAACCTCGTGCATCACAATATCAACAACCGCACGGTAGAAACCTCGTGCATCACAATATCAACAACCGCACGGCAGAAACCTCGTGCATCACAATATCAACAAATGACAATATATACAGGAACAAAGCAAGAGAATCAACTCAAGAGATTCTGTTCACCAAAAGACGGTACAACTAACGTACAAGGAAAAAACTGTAACAGGGAAATACTAAGCGCAATAAGGACAACTCAACAAGGGAGAAATAATACGAAACAACGATTCCATAATACTCAGTTCTACAATAAGGAAGTTAACATGGATCAAATAATTACAATAAATGAGGTATCGACTAAACATAGGATATCTAACTTCTTCCTAATTAAGACCAATTAATTACACGAGAGATAGAAATAATGCTTTCCAGATAGAGACAAGTAGTTAGGAATGATAATGTGACTACAGAAGGGCAAATGTCTGCAGTTAAACAAGTAAAAGTCATTTAGGCAACAAGAATAACCAAAAAAAGGCAGATAAATTCCAAGTAAGTCGTGTAGAGGTGGAACTAATAACAGGGAACTCAATCGTATCAAGAACAACTTCATATTCGGTGATTACAAGTAACGAAGATAAAAGGGCAATTTTCCACAAATAAATCCGAGCACGCACTCGTCACCTCGCGTACAGGGAATACAATCAACAAAGAAGACTCAAATCCTAAGGGGGAGTCCCCCACACAAGGTTAGGCAAGATACTTACCTCGAACCGGCTAAAATCGACTAGCAACCATATACTTGCCACGAGTACTCGACTCCAAATGGCCCAAATCTATTCAATTAAATCACACATT